CCTCTACTCGCCGAATGATTCTTAGAGACGCTACTGCATAACTATCAACATGAGATTGTTCGGGATTTACTAGGTTGGTTTTGTTTATTGGGGGTTGGGGGAGGGGGGGTTACGAAATGCGCTTTAAAGGGACAGATGTTTTAGACTAAATATTGGAATGCATAGAGGATATCTATATCTAACCTGTTTCTATTAATTACATTCTGCAGTTAAATATAATTCGATTAATTAAGGCCAAATGTTTTTTGCGATGATGATGTCACAATCCAAGATTTTCTTAAATCATAGCAACAATGCTCTTTTAAAGGGCATAGAAACAAAATTAAAAAACAAAATGTAAATGCAGCTACATCTTTATTTCATATACCAGATACATATCTTATAACCCATAAAATAATATAAACATAACAACATCTAGTAACAAAATAACTTCTTTATAATAATAATAACAAATAAAATGGTTCAGGTTATATGGATATACTATTTCTATATTTGATGATTCATCTTTTTATATGCTCATACACAGATGTGAATTTTAATTGTTGAAATGTGCAACGCTCACCCGCTATCGATGCCTTCATGAACAAGTAGGTTATAAGTAATACACTCATACACAACCTCTATTTCTCTACATACGCTCTTTCTTTACATAGGCCTATTTTTATTTCTTAAAGAATGACACAATAACAAAAAAAAACAATATCAATTTTCTCTATTGAGGGAACATAAAACCCTTGACGAAATACACCGTGTTGGATCTCCTTCATCGTTCAATTTTACTGTATCGATTTACCTATTGCGATTTAAAAAGCCAGAAAGGTTATTAACAGGAATTATAAATCGTTTGACCATAATTAACACAGAATTCATATATCGTCATACAGGATTTTTAAATCGACTGACTAAAGTTAACACAGGAACTCTAAATAATCTGAACCAAATTTAAAAACAGAATTCTTAAATCGTCTGACCCAATTTTAAACAGGATTCTTAAATCGTTTGACCTAACTTAACACAGGATTCCTATATCGTCTGACCATAATTAACACAGGATTCCATTATCGTCTGATTCCAATTTAAAATAGGGTTCCTAAATCGTCTAACCCCAATTTACACAGGATTCCTATATCGTCTGAACCCAAATTAACACATGACTAAATCGTCTGACCCAAATTAACACATGACTAAATCGTCTGACCCAAATTAATACATGACTAAATCATCTGACCCAAATTAACACATGACAGCGTAAGAAATACAACGTAACGTATAAATCTAAATTGAAATTTTGGTATGAAGGACGAATTCTAACCAATAAAAAAAAATCCCAACAACACAAACAAAACGGGGGCAGCCCATACTAATGTACTATTCATGAGTTTCATCTAATGTAAACGTCTTACTAAATACTACATTGCTTTCTGAACACCTTATTTGATTTGGAAATTTGATACGTTCTACGTAGTTCTTATTAAGACAATCTACTCATTGTCAGGGCAAGAATCAAGAACTTCCCACCTGTTCTTTTGGATTTCTGTTAAAATATGCATAGGATATAAGGCATCTTGCTTTATAAACGGCTCACGAATCTTCCACAACTTACCCATGCATGAATCATTAAGTAGAGCAATAAACCCTTGAGACAGTCTGTGATTTAACCCATTACCATTAGCAATCCATATACCGATGGATATGGACCAATGGAATGGTTACCTTCGACCAAGCAAGATGGATACACGAAAACAGGTTAAGGCACATGGGAAAATGAGCACTACAAAGAATACAATAAATAATCGACATAATTAAAAAGAGCTAACTACAGCTTAAAACTACATGACATGACAAAGGTCAAAAGTGATTCATAAAGAACACAATTTGTTTACGCTGGTACCACACTTACCACAGCTACCAAATTACCACAACTACCAAAACTATCATAACTACCACATATGTATATATCTATAGATATAAAACAATTAACATGCAATAATCAAGTACTTCTAAGATATTGATTACTTTTAATGTGGTTCTCATCTGTCATCAGACACATAATTAGCAATATTAATTTTATAATAATTTTTTGTAATATATATTCCAGCCGAATCAATCAATAATGATTGTTTTATTTCTCTATAACTTGCGTTTCTTATATACCATTAGAGGATTAGTATATATGTGACATCATTCTATGGCAGATTGACCATTCAGCACTTTATAAATAATGAATATTCAAATGATCTAAATATTGGATAGACAGAAACATCTGCCTTTATTCCAGCCTCTAATAGATATTTTTATGATGTTGTCGGTAACTGTTAAAATATATATTAGAGCAGTGGTTCCAATCCTATTTCAACCTTTCAAAACCCCAAACATTTGTTTCATCCACATTTTCAGCATGTGTTGCTGTGAGGTGCTCTCTCAATTCAAAACAAATTCTTCTCCTACACCAGTTGGCCACACCCCTGACACCCTAGTCCCACACCCCCAGAGGGTAAAAACACCCCAGGTTGGGAACCGGGGTATCAGAGACTAGAATAGAGTATTGGATTACATCTATATCTATATCTAAGCTGTTTCCATTACCTTTTGCAATTGAATATAATTAAATTAATTAAAGCTAAATGGTTTTTCGCGATGGTGATGTCACAATCCAAGATTTTATTAAATCACAGCAACAATGCTCCTTTAAACGTCTCCTTTGTAAATTAATATTAAGAATTCTGCACCCATCCATTTATACAGAGATTCTTAACCTCGTTAATTACTTAATTAATCTTAATAAGATTTAATAGGGAGGAAATTATTTAAATTTACAAGCTGATAGAGCTCCATCCCATCCAACTGTAACACTTTTCAAAACTATGACCATGTACTTTATAACAGTCTCAGTTATAAGCGATGACGTCATGAGCTATAAAGGAATATCTTCCATTTTTAAAGTGGTGTAGGGCTGAAATCGAGCTATATCAGCTGGTAATGCATCTATTCTAAGACCTATTCTACGACCTGTTCTAAGTTCTATTCTAAGATCTATTCTAAGATCCATTCAAGTCATGAAATCAATATACATGTGATAGTAATAAATAAAATGCAAATTCATCTGGCAACAGCAAAATAATCCCCATATAGCCCAGAAACAGAGATCCCTCAAAGGAGTTCTAAGAACATAACAGATTATTGTAAAAATATTTCCTTTTGATTTAAATGATGCCTCACAACCATGGTCGCATCATAGACCTAAAGTCAGAATTGACTGCCATATAACCTAATCAATAACCCTATCTAGTCATATACGATTATTTTGAATTTGAAAGCTCTGAGCTAATATGAAATTTGAACTTCAGTAACTGATCTCTTATTACTGTAATAATTGTTTTGAACTTGAGTAAATGATATTTTATAACATTTTACATTAATAATTGTTTTGAACTTGAGTAACTGATATTTTATAACATTTTACATTAATAATTGTTTTGAACTTGAGTAACTGATATTTTATAACATTTTACATTAATAATTGTTTTGAACTTGAGTAACTGATATCTCATAACCTATTACATTAATAATTGTTTTGAACTTGAGTAACTGATCTCTTATAACATATTGCATTAATAATTGTTTTGCATTTGAGTAACTGATATTTCATAACATTTTACATTAATAATTGTTTTGAACTTGAGTAACTGATATTTTATAACATATTACATTAATAATTGTTTTGCACTTGAGTAACTGATATTTTATAACATTTTACATTAATAATTGTTTTGAACTTGAGTAACTGATATTTTATAACATATTACATTAATAATTGTTTCGCACTTGAGTAACTGGTATCTCATAACATATTACCTTAATAATTGTTTTGCACTTGAGTAACTGGTATCTCATAACATATTACATTAATAATTGTTGTGCATTTGAGTAACTGATATCTCATAACATATTACATTAATAATTGTTTTGAACTTGAGTAACTGATATTTTATAACATTTTACATTAATAATTGTTTTGAACTTGAGTAACTGATATTTTATAACATATTACATTAATAATTGTTTCGCACTTGAGTAACTGCTATCTCATAACATATTACCTTAATAATTGTTTTGCACTTGAGTAACTGGTATCTCATAACATATTGCGTTAATAATTGTTTTGCACTTGAGTAACTGGTATCTCATAACATATTGCATTAATAATTGTTTTGCATTACAGTAACTGATATCTTATGACATATTACATCAATATTTGTTTTGAACATGAGTAACTGATATCTTACAACATATTACTTTAATAATTGTTTTGAAATTGAACTTGGTAAGTATAAAACGTGTTACTATAATAATGGTTTTTAACTTCAGGTGTCTTAAATTTTTGTGCAAAACAGTGATGAATAATATTTTTTTATTTTTCCAAATTAAGTTTTTGATTTCAAGTTAAGTGTGAAACAGTGATTTAATAATGTTTTGGACCCTGTTTTAAATCAAAACAAACTGTAGCAAATGACGTTAACTTACGAGCTGCCAGTGCAAAATATTGTTTCAGAAGTCACTTGTCAGTTTCACAGGGGTGTTCAATATATAATGTTATTTATCATACACCTATGGTGCTCAAAGGGTTAAACTTTAACAGGTAAATGTAAGACATGGCCCTCTAATAAGTCATTTGGATCTTTATCAGGTACTAGTTGTCGTAATAATGAATTTAGAGTACTCAGAGAGTCTTGTTTTCCAATATGGGGTAGATATCTTTGATCCCAAACTTGTATGTATTCTTGTAATAACTCCAAAAACCTGCAAAATTTCATAAACATTAAACTTACTATTGTTGAAATTCA